GCACCATCAAGTTCAGTTAACAGCCATCAATCGATCGCTCGGGTTCAGTAACGCGTAGCCTGCAGTGCAATCGCTCGGGTTCAGTTAGAGCCCAACGCCTCGCTCGGGTTCAGTTAGAGCCAACGCCTCGCACACACGCGCGTACGTGTACTAGAGAAACGTGCATCGCTCGGCTCCCGACCTCCCACCGTAACCGGCAACTCCCCGAAATTTTCCTCCCCATCGCTTCTACCACGGTTTTTTCCGTCATGGACAGCAAAAAGAATGTCATGCAGCTGCGTCTCCGGCCCGCCCAGGACGAAAAGCCCACTTTCTGTCATGATTTTTTGTCATAGAAGTAGGAGCCCACCACATCTATGATGATACCGGGTTTTGTCACAATTATCGTCATAGAAGTGTCATATGTATGACAGAAAAAAAATTCGTTTGGCCCAAAATGTCACGGATGTGTCTTTTTTTTGTAGTGTCGCCCGTCGCGCCGCCATAGTGTTGTGAAGAGCAACGGAGCCAGCGGGCTACTACAGGCCCGCGCCCCACCGCTGGGGTGCTGCAACCCCGAGGGGCAGCACAACATTCAGGGGAGGCTGCAGCTGCTGGCGATGCACGGCGGGGGCTCATCGATGTCGTCTGTTCAGCGATGCAGCAACGCGTCCATGGCCAAAGTGCTGCAAGGCAACCTCGAGGAGGCGTTGCTGATGTTGCAAGTCACCGGCGTCGGAGCTGCATTGGAGCGCTCCCTCGGTCAATAGCCACCGGCCCGCGCCTACAATGAAGCGACGCTGGAATGAAGCGTGCCGGAGCTGCAGTGAAGCACCGGGGAAGGATCATGGAAACTTCGCCGGGGCTGCAATGGAGCTCAGCCGGAGTTGCAATGGAGCTTCGCCGGAGCGTCGGTGCTACGTTGGAGCTCGGCCGGGGCTGCAATGAAGCTCGGACGGAGTTGCAATGGAGCTTCGCCGAAGCATTGGTGCTCTGCTGGGTTGCAATGGAGCTCACCGAACGTCGACGATGCTGCGTTGGCACTCCATGTGGGACTGCAATACGGCGGTGTTGAACCTGTCGTGCTTGCGCAGCCTGCTATGATCCAACGATCCCAGCATGCTGATCGGACGGCTAAGCAGGCGTATGATTCCTCTAAGAATCATCCGGCTGATTTGTAGCAGCCCCCAAAACAAAATCAAGTTGGTCGAGACACTCACCCTTTCCTTTATCAGAAAACAGAATCAGTCGTGATGGCAGATTAAGCAGCGAGCAGACAAAAACAAAAATTCCCTATTAGACATTGATTCACCATTTAACCAATTGTACTCTCTTAAATGGATCTATCTAGCACTAATCGTGGTGTTAGATACATCCATTTAAGGGACAAACTTGAGGAAGGGAGTATCCTTTAAAAGAAAAACATTTAACCAATTTGTAGTGGCTCCATCGTCTTGGCGTAGGCAAACGTCCGGTAGTAGTCTCCGACGTAGCCCCCCATGTTCACGACAAGCCTCCCCTCATCCTCGTGACCGACGCGCACCACGCCATTGTCTTCGTCACGACGCAGCCTCCTGCCCGAAGACGCCGCATCTTTCCGGCGGTGCGCGTAAAACGACGCCCCGTTGCGCACCGTGAGGATGCACTCGCCGGCGTATGCAAAGTGCGGCAGTGGGACACGCTGCTCGAGGATGTACCGGCGACTCCATCTCTGCCCTTCTTCCTCCAGAACCCATGCTTGGGCCGAGGCGTGCCCACGGGTGACAAAGCCCAGCCTCCCGCGCACCTCAGTCAGGTGGTAGCTGTTGTGCCCGGTCGGCATCGCGGGCGGCCGCGCGGTGGCAGAGACGACGACGTGCTCGTCGTCGAGGTCGAACGACGCGACCTTAGCGACGCCGCTCGCCGTGACCCAGATCCAGTACGTCTTGCCGTCGACGCTGACGATGCCGGCGGCGAGGTTGCACTTGGCACCGCCAGGACCGGCAGGCACCTCCCGCCACGTCACCTCCCCCAGCGTGAGCACGTGGACGGCGTCGAACTCGCAGACCCGTTCGTAGCTGCACGGGACGTGCACCACCTTGTGCTTCCCCGTCGTGGGGTGGTACGCGAAGCAGTACGCCTCGTGCCATGCCTCCTCCTTGCTCCACTTCTCCGTGGTCTGGCGCCCGACGAGCGGCCCGGCGCACGGCAGCGGCGGGATGGGCAGCTTCGCGCCGGTGGCCGGGTTGACGACCGTGAGGGCGCCGCCGGCGCGCTCCTCGTCGTCGCACAGGCAGAGCAGGCCGTTGCACGTGCCGACGAGCTGCACCGCTTCGCTGTTGCGGCCTTTGGCGGCGCTCCTCCACAGCTGCCTGCAGCTCCTCGCCGAGGCCGCCGCCGAGGACGGGTCGTCGACGACGTAGGCGATGGCGTTGCCTGTGTGCCAGAGGAGGGGCTTCGCGCGGCTCTGCATCTCCGTGGTGCGCTCGTCGACGACGTCGCGCCAGACCCGGCAGACGAGGCGCGCCCTGCGGCGGCTGCTCGGCGGGAGCCGCTGCAGGATGTCCACCAGCACGTCCGTGGAGAAGTAGCGTTCCATGGCCGTTGTCTCCGTGGATTCCCAATTCGATCTTTTCCATTCCCCCATTGAAGCCTTCCGCGTACTTGCCCGATCGTGTCGTTTAAAACGGGCAAAGGGTTCATCGGAGCCCGGCTTAGTTACCGAGGTTGTGGATTGTTTTTATCGTTCCTGACTTACCGAGGGTTGTGAACTTGCGCTCGTTTTTGGCTGGAACTTACGTGGCTGTCAAGCTCAGTGTGAAAGGTTCGGATGGAATTTGACAACGCAATGCCGAGAAGTTGCAGGGGCTGCAGATTTTTTGTGACTTCTCACCGTGGATTAAGGACCGGAACATCCGAGGAATGTCTCGTAAATACTTCCTCCTAAAAAAATATAAGAGCGTTTGAATTACTAAAGAGGGAGTGGTTTCTTTACGTAGCGGGGAGGTGCTGGAGTTGCCCAACTCCAACGGCTCCCTTCAATAAAAATCTTTTCTGTAAAACTGATTTTCTGGCCTTCCTTTTCGGAATTCAGAAATCCATTCAGTTATAAGGATGGTTTTGGTACGGATTCACGGAACACGCTAATCAAACTCCACGACTGCATACTGTTCGGGATTTAGAAATCCATATGATTCATGCACTCCAAAGGATGATTCATCAGTAGATGGGATAAATCTACCCAAGAACGATCACCAACTCAAGCAGCATGTTCCAGAACAAACTTTCAGGCACGATTTGGTTTCGAATTCTGCAGACGATCAAAGTCAACGAACTGGCTGTTCACCACAATTCTAAAAATCAAACACACCTAGCGTACTCCTTAATTTGCCCTGCCTGGCGAGGCCGTGCATTTGGTAGCACGTTAGGGCGAGAAATACCTTGCAAACAGAGGCGAGCAAATTTGATGATCGATCTAGTCGAACACAGCCAGCTTCTGGTACTCATCGCCGGAGATGGCCTCCATCATAATGGCCTCGGGGTTCACCACGCCGTCCTTCTTCAGGAAGATCTTGAGGAAGTTCTTGGAGAAGCCGCTCACCATGGCCACCCCAGGCTGTGTCGCCGTCACCGGCGTCGATTTAGAGTCCCGCAGGTTCCAGAAGATGATTTGCGGCACCACGTCCCCGTACCCGGCGTCCCTAAACTTCTGGCAGATCACTTCATAGTCTGTGCCCCACGACCGCTGCACCTCCTCCTCCTCCTCGTCCTCGTCCTCAGAGTAGTCATCGTGGTCGTCGTCCTCGCACCCCGACGCCTGGTCGAACTCCATGTCGCTGTACACAAACACAGTCCTGATCATCTTCTCCGGCGCCAGCCGGGCTTCCACCGCCGTGCGGAGGATCTGGTCGAACACTGCCTGGAAGTTGGTGTTCATGTCCCAGTCCATACGCTGCACAAACCTCATCTTCTCACGGAGGGTGTTGCCGTTGATGAGCTGGAGCTCGGGCCTCTCGCTGAAGGTGATCACCTTGCCCGCCCACGGCTCCTCGCTGAGCTCCGACGTGAGCACGCCGAGCGCGATGCACACCTCCATGGGAGTGCCGGTCATGCTGCCGGACACGTCGCAGACTGAGATGCAATTGCACAACGACCCCTTGGAGCGGAGGTCGTCCACCATGCGGCGCCACTGCAGCTCCGACACTTCGTCCTCCTCGCCGCGGTAGGCGGCCGCCGCGATCTCGTGGGGCAGCAGCGCCCCGGCCGAGATCTTGGCCTTGCCGGCCTCCACGTCCTCCAGGTACTTGTCGAAGCGCTCCTCGTCGTGCTTCTTGAAGAGGACCTTATAGCGCCTCATGGCCACCGAGGCCACGCGGGTGTAGGGCAGCTCCAACCACCGCTGCGCGCTCATGTACACTTCAGGGAGCTCCAGGACCTTGCGCAGCGGCACGAGCACCTCGCGGCGGAGGCGGTGGAGGGTTTGGTACGTGTAGTGCTCGTCGGAGAGCTGGGCGTACTCGGGGTCCGAGTCCCGCGGGAAGAGGCGGCGTGCGATGGCCTCGCAGAGCAGCGTGGTGCGGTCGAACGACGAGCCCGGCGTGGGGCACCACTTGGCGGCGAGCCCGATCTTCCTCTTCTTGCCGTCGAGGGCCAGCTGCTCGAGGTCCGTCGCAAGGAGGGCGGCGAAGAAGTCGGCGACAACGTCGAACAGGAAGCGGTAAGCACGGTCGCCGTAGTACGTCTCCAGCGACTGCACGGCGAGCTTGGCCACCTTGCGGACCTTCTTCGACGGCCGCAGCTTAGTTGCCGCCGTCTTCGTCTTCTGGTCCACCTTCGGCTTCTGCCCGGGCGGCTCCTGGACCGGGACAGGGGCGGCCTCCACCTCCATGGGTTTGCCCTTGCCGGAACTGGAGAGGGCCGCGGAGAGGTAGGCGCCGAACATGGGCTTTGGCGGCACAGGGGCCAGCACGCGGGCTTGCTTGCGATCGGCCAGCCTAGGCTTGCCGGGGTCCTTCTCCTTCCTGCCCGCCTTCTCGGCGGCCGCGCTCTCCCTGGCGAGCTTGCGCGCGTCAGGGCCGTGGATGAGGCGGAAGAGCAGCTCGGGCAAGTCCTTGAGGTAGCCGAACTCGGCGAGCGCGGCGACGTTGCCAGCGAGCGTCCGGGGGTGGTTCTGGTGCAGCCAGAGCGCGGCGGCGTAGAAGCCCTCCTTGTCCGACTTGCCGGTGCCGCGGACGCCGCGCAGGTTGCAGGCGAGCTTGAGCGCCGTGAGCGCGTCGTGCGCCCAGGCAGCGGCGAGCAGGCCGCGCACGCGCTCGGGCGGCGTGTCGGGCACCAGTGCACCACCTGGAAGAAGAAGTCGAGGCAGGGGCTGCCCGAGTTGGCGTACGTGGCGGAGCCGTTCTCCGTGAGCGCCCTCCGCGGCTCGAGTTCCGCCCTGATCTCCGCGGCGGACGGCGCGTCGACGGCAGCGTCGAGGACGCCGACGGAGGGGTGCGAGTGCGGCCCGGCGGAGCCGGGAGACGGGCGCGCGCCGCGGATGACGGGAGGGCCGAGGAGGGGGCGCGGCGGCGCGGCGGGCTCCGTCTCCGTTGCCATGACGACTAGGGTTTTGGTCAGTCGTCGCGACCTGATGCGACTAATAATGTTTAATGTTCCCTAAAAAAATGTTTTAAAGTGAAAACTTATTACGTGATAGCAGAGAGGGTTCTGGGCTGTCGATTGAACCGACATGGCAGGTCGACGGTGCAGATCCGATCCAGGGGACTATTAATGTAGTCAACGGGAAAAAGTTACAATGCTCATGAGACGATCATATTTTTGATCCCTCAAATCGTGTGCTAATCACTTCAAGTGAATTTCTGTTGATTTTGTGACGTTTGAGTCATATTTTTTTGTTTGTAAATGTTTTCTTTCGGTCGACCCACTTGTTAAGGGCATCGCGCTCACACCTAAAAGGCACGTCCTCCCACATGGGCCCTACACAACAGCCCCCCTTCTCCTTGTCCTTTTTCACCGCGGCTATTGGCCACACACTTAAGGCGTCTATCCCTCACTCATTTCCCTCCACCATCATTGTGTGCGCCGCTGCGGTGAGCGTCGTCATAGAGGCTGAGAGAGGTCGACACGGGGAAGCTACAATCAAGGCACAAAAAGTTGCAATGGGGCGCTGCACCCCAATGACGTGTCGTCACCGCCGACGATGGAACTGAAGCGGTGACTGGTAGGTCATCGACCGTGCATGCTACAATGGCCCATCACCCATGCTGCAATCGACTGGCGACACAGAAGTTGCGATAGGCGAAGGCAAGGTCCTGGCGCCCGACGAGATGCTACAACCGGCCATCGAAAAGCTGCAATGTTAGAAATATGACAGGCAAGGCTACATGAGCGGTTTCCTGCAACGGCGACGAGGCAGAGTCTTGATTGTTGCTACATGCACACCCCCCCCCTCCCTTTTTTGCTGGAATCAACGCCCTGTTTTGTTGGGATCGGCGTCCCTGCTTGCTACGATATTCGCGCCTGGGAGTTGAATAACATGGTGAGCTGGAATCATCGTCTCAATTGCTGTTGGGACCGGGGAGGGGGCATCGTGCCGGAACCTTTGGCGAACACCTATGGACCAATTCTGCGAAGGCGGTGGCGACACGGCGAGCGGTGGTGAGCCGGTGGTGCTTCAAGCGTCGAGCGACACGCGTCCATGACGGGGTCAGTTGCGCTCGCTGTCGAGCGCTTTCTGGTGAAAAGGAGGGAACAGACGCTTTTTAAGGAAAGAGGCGAAGGGGAAGGAATACAACAATGCGCGCGAAGGACGGGCGGTGACGGGCCGAAATTTGGGCAGGTCGGCATGTGCCTAGCTTCACCTTTTTTTTCTTGTTTTCTTTGCATTTGCCATTTTCTTTGTGTTTACCGCAGTTGCACTCCTTTTGCGAATGGACTTTTATTTGTGCATGGTGTAATTGCACTTCTCTTTACAACTACATTTATTTTTCTTTTTTAAGGGCAGCGCTATGCGTCAGCCTATGGATAATAAAAAAAGATCTGCCGCCTCACTAGTATTGGATGGACACGCTAATGACCGTTCAACCTACAATGTGTGCAGCCTTCTTTTGCAACAAAGTGGTGTTACAGTAATTTCTGCAACAGAGGTTTTGTTGTAAAAAAATCTGCAACACAAGTCTTGTTGAAGAAATCTTTCTGTGAGATTTGTTGCGAGGTTGAAACATGGCCCTTTTACAACAAGTGCCTTGTTGCAATTGCAACATGTACTTACAAAAATAGAACATCTCACCGCCAACCCTGGGCGAAAGAGATTAGGACGAGGACGCCAGCCGGCGAGAAGGACCTCTGCTGGGGCACGACGAGGCTGACCTCACCGTCAAGGACGCCCGCCGCCGCCGGCTACCAGATGTAGCATCAAGTCGAGGTACGTCCCTGGTAGATGTGACATGAGCTGTCTCGAGGAGCTGCAAAGTGGTGTTTCATGGGTCCCTCTGTTGTTGCTAAGGGTGACCAAGCTCGCGTTGTCTTGCAGATGACAGTGGCTAGCGCGACAAGGTCAGCACCAGCAGCCACGCCGATCGCGTGATGCTATGGATGGAGAGCTCGGTGTTTGGAGGAGATGCGGGTGAATGGAGAAAGGTACTCCTAGAAGACAGAGCGCTGGAGAGGGTGAGGTTGTACGGAGCAACTCTCGTATGATGCGTGGTCCTCACCAGAACTCGTGACACCAGGACATGTTGTTGTTTGCTCTTTGCAACTTGGTTTATTGCGATGTGTTTACTTGTACGTGCACCGTTAGTTTAAATCAGATCCAACGACAACGGAAGTGGTTGATGCGAGAGAGCAATCCGCCGGCTGAAACCTAGCGTTTTCTTTTTTGAAAGGGCTCTTTTATTTGTTGAATTGCACTATTTTCTTGTGTAATTGTACTTTCAAATCATCGAGTCATCTACACAATCCATCACCTTCACTATTCGCTAACTCACCACCCTCCTCCCGTAACCCTCGGTTTCCCAGCTCTCTCCCGTTCCCCTTTTGCGGCGACGCATCGTCATCGATCCAGGCCGCCGCTCGCCTCATCCCGCCTTCCTCCGTAGCCAGCGGCGGCGCACTTCGGCAGGTCCCTCCCATCTCGCCTCGTCCCGCATCTGTGCTGCTCGACTCCCGCCTCATCCCCATTACCTCGTGGCGGCGCAAGGACAAAGGGGTGGCTCGACTCCCGACCAGCACCCTGGTTTGCTAGAAAAGAAAGCAAGGGGCGGCGACCACGGCAGCGCAGTACCTCGTCATCAACGGATCCTTCTCTTCAATAGCAATCCCAAGGTACAGACCGACACTATGCGTGATTGTGTGATTTTGCACGTGTATGTATTGGGTACTTCTGTTTCCAGCCAAAAACATTGAGCTCGTGTGTGCTTCTAGAATCTAGACTATGGCATATATTACTTTCTAGAGTCTAGACTATGACAATAGCATGCATTGCTCCAATACTCATATGTGAAGCAATTATAAAAGATCATGTATTGCTAAATTATGTTTCCAGCAAGCAGTTCTTGCCAAAAATATATATCTAATGTTGTACTCTCTCCGTCCCAAAATAAGTGACTCAACTTTGTTCTAACTTTAGTAGTCAAAGTTAGTACAAAGTTGAGTCACTATTTTTTTGGGACGGAGGGAGTATTATCTAGGAAGGATTAGAGGTTGCAGATTGTTTGGTATATGCAGAAGTTGCATGCTACTCAAGATTTCTATAGATTTGTTGTCGTATTATGACATAGATAAACAGACGCTGTCAATTCTGAACCTTGTTTTATTGTAGGTTTGTTTCGAGAAATAAGATTAAGTGAGCCTTAACTGAAAAAGCAAAAGGTGGACATTCCGGTCTGAAAGGATCGATATGGTTGACTAGAGGGGGGGTGAATAGGCAACTAACAATTTTTAGACTTTTCTTTAACAAATTAAAACTTGCAATGAAATAGGTTGTCTAGATGTGCAACTACGTGGACAACCTATATGATGCAAAGACAATAAGCACACAAGCAAGCAATGGATATAACTCAAGTAAGCTTGCAAAAGTAAAGGGACAAGATAACCAAGAGTGGAGCCGGTGGAGACGAGGATGTGTTACCGAAGTTCCTTCCTTTTAAAGGGAAGTACGTCTCCGTTGGAGCGGTGTGGAGGCACAATGCTCCCCAAGAAGCCACTAGGGCCACCGTAATTTCCTCACGCCCTCACACAATACGAGATGCCGTGATTCCACTATTGGAGCCCTTGAAGGCGGCAACCGGACCTTTACAAACAAGATTGGAGCTATCTCCACAACACTTGGAGGCTCCCAACAACACCACGAAGCTTCATCACAATGGAGTATGGCTTCGAGGTGACCTCAACCGTGTAGGGTGCTCAACACACAAGAGTAACAAGATCCGCTAGGGATAAGTGGGGGGAATCAAATTTCTCTTGGTGGAAGTGTAGATCTGGGCCTTCTCAACCAATCCCGAGCAAATCAACAAGTTTGATTGGCTAGGGAGAGAGATCGGGCGAAAATGGAGCTTGGACCAACAATGGAGCTTTGGGGGAAAGAGGTAGGTCAACTTTGGGGAAGAAGACCCCCTTTTATAGTGGGAGGAACAAACCAACCGTTATCCCACTCACCAGCCCCGCACAGAGCGGTACTACCGCTAGGGAAGGGCGGTACTACCGCTCCGGGCGGTACTACCGCTCGACCCAGCGGTACTGCCGCGCTGCCCGGGGCCCTGACCCCAGGGCGGTACTACCGCTAGGGAAGAGCGGTACTACCGCTTAGGGCGGTACTACCGCTCCTACTACCTCCCTTAGTGGCGCAAAACCCGACACGAAAAACTTCGTTCGAGAATCAAGGCGGAAGTAGCCCAGACGCACAACGGTACTACGGCCGAAAAACCCAAGCGGTACTACCGCTTG